AACAATGTGGCACGCAAATGTAGTTCATTTATTATGAGATCAATTTAATTATCTTGTGGCGAGCGCGTAACAACATTATAAGCGGCCGAGTAAGACGTAAGACTGCGTAAGCGACTCCAATGTTAACACACGACTAATCTACAGAGTGTAACCGAAATTTTAAATAAAATTAATCAAAAATTTCTCCATATTTCTAAAGCAGATCGAAATAAAAATTTATTTTTGCTTCAGGTGATAATACTAGACAATTTTGATGATTTATCAACAACTATGAAAGTAGTTGAGTATTGTTGTCAGTTGTTCCTGATCGAAACGTCCAATATGCGCGGAGAAAACCGCATGAATTGCACGAGCGCAATATAAATGCAAATTCCTAATTTAAATATAATAATAATGTGCAGTAAAAACAATTACCGACAATGCGAGCGCGCGTTGCAACGTGTCGGAGTGTTTTGCGATCGGCGGCGTATCGTTTCGGCGTTTGCGTTATCGCCGGCCGCCATCAACTCGAGCCAGAAAGCGCAGTTAGCATCGGCTCGTTTGCCACGATGCCTTTCGGCACTTTTGGCGAAAACGATATCGTTTCGCTCCTTTGCGAGATGAAAAATGAGCACTGTACAGGAAATACTACTTCAGCTAAACAAACAGTTTATTCTAGTTCGCATAGCTTAGCCGTAGATATATTTAAATCAACAAGTTGTGGGATTTTATTAATTTACCAGCGTGCGATGAATTTGGTGAACACTGGTTCAATTTAGTTTTGACTGTTTTGAGTAATGTTCCAACTCTGGGAGCGAAGTAGAGCAAACACATTGTGCCACCTTGTTTGTGAGCAAACTTAGTTAGCAACAATCAACATCGACGCTAGGCCGGCGGGGCCTGGAGCGTCGCCGCCACGCCATTTAGTTAAACTGGCGCGCGCGCGCCTCCTGCTGAAAACAGCACTTCGGGGAAATGACAAACAGGCTGGTTGGTTGTTTTACTCCGGTATGCATGCATGCATGCACATATTCTACATTTCAACAATTACCTTAGATATCTCGTCTTCTTATTAAACAGTTGCTTAATAACGCTGTGCCGTTGAAACTTTTATCATTTTAATTATAATATAAAAGCGTCTGTTACATGGCCACATTGTTGCGGCCGGTGCACATCAACACGCCGCAACAAAGATCATGTAAAATCGCCGATAGTTGAGATAGTTGATATAATTGTGGCGGCGCGCGCTGAATGCGAAATGCAGATTTAGCTCGCGCTCGCGCTAGCGCTATGGCATTCAGATCCAGCCCGGCAGATAATGCCTTATTATATTCATCATTTCACGTGTAAAACAGACCGACTGATATATTGTTTAAAGTTAATTACACGAATACGCTGCGAGCGCATTGTTTTCGTTTCGTAATTTGAATTTGAATATTCTTTATAAGTACCTACAACAGCACAAAAACAAAAACATCCACAATGGAAAAATACAAAGCTTAAAAAATAAAAATAAAAAATATTTCTGCAATAATTTCACAGTTAAAAATGGCTATTTATCAATTTCTAATGTCCATTTGTGGTGTGGTGGTACGTTTGGTTCGTTTGGCGTTCGACGAGGTAAAATAAGAATCGAAAACATGTAATCAAGCGAAAATATCACCACGGAGAGACCACACGCAGTCGTGGCGCACAAGATGAGTCCGGCACATCGTGTGCCCACATTCACGTTTCTGGTTTCTGGTTTTCGATTTACAATATCGTAATATCCTCGGGTATTACAAGTGAGGCGTCGGTATCGGTACCAATCAACCGTAATAGTAATAGGAATAGAGTTGCTCGACGTAATAAACGAGTAAATCCTGCCTTCGATTCAAAGATGCATGCGTTCGATTATTATTGTTATTGTTATTGAATGATGAAGGAAGATGCGCGTTATCGAGGAGGAAGTCCAACGGACAAAACAGACAGCCGAATGGACTACTGTGTTCGGCTACTAGATGATTATTAAAATTATTGATTGACTCCGAGATTAGCTCCAGCTACGTCTATGACACTAATTATAGTGCAGTCTATTAATTTACCACAACCAAGAATAAAATTTCGTAAATAAAACTCAAATAATTTCTAATCTTCCGGGTTGATACAAATGATTAATGAAGATTTTGCATCTCATTCCACCAAGCAGGAAATCCACCAAGATGCAAAAAGTTATGCATAACATGATACACCGATGCGTATGTTTACGAGATTAATTATGGCGTGTTAATTAAATTTAATAATGCCGCCGAACGCGGACCGCCAGCGCAGCGGCGCTCACCGCAGGCTGCGTTTGCACATTCGCACATTCGCAATCGGCGTAATGACGAACGAAATTAAAATCAATTGCAACGTGCGGCCACGGGATTCGATAAGCGAGCCAACGACATGTTAATGATTTATGCGCCTGCCAAGCCAACAAATATATCAACACGAACAGAAGCATGACCAATGAGATTAATAAAAGTAGTGCAAGTCATAAAAGAATTTTAAATAATAGTCATCGGACAAATGTTGAAACAAATGGAAATGTAAAATTTACGACTAAATGAAAAACGTAATGCGATCGTGTGAGTAACGAGTGTGTATAAAAAGTTCGAATGTCTCCTGGAGCTGCTGCCTGCCTGCACTCGCCGGCTTGTCGGTCGCGCCCGCTTGCGATTTATAAATATCTTGCATTTATTAATAGGCGTCATTATTTCCACGCGTATATTTCACTCGGTGACTTGTTTTCGACCCTGCTTTCGGTTTCGTTTTAATTTTATTCTCATTTTGTCCGTGTGTAAACTTTATTTTGGAATTATCATCGAAATAGGCAATATATTTGATCGTTATTGTTTTTCTTTTTCTCGAGTTGAAGCAGAAGTCTTGAATTTTTGTATTTGTCACCGACTCATACATTATTTTGACGTAATTTTATCATCTTTATAGGCACTTAACTTTTGGTAGTCGGTCTTTACGACAGAAAATAGCGCCCGATAACGCATGATTCATGCATAACCTCGAATCTAAAAAAGTCTCAAGATGTAAATAAAATAATAAAAAGCGGACATAATTACGATCTGCCTTTAGTCATGCATACACAAACACGTTTGATAAACCGCATCTCATGTGAATATCATGCTCATGTTGGATTTTGTTTATTGCACATTTTAGTTTTAGTGTCGACCTACATGTTGAAATGCGTTTTCGTCAAATTTGTAAACCAGCTAATTAATGCGACCACATGGTGACGTCACATTCTCACCAAAATGAAAATATCTAATTAGTTAATTTGAAAGAAGTCAAACAGAATAAACATGTTGATATTGAGGCGTCCGTGGCGGCGCAGTCGACATGTCGTGTCACACGTGCATTAAATGCATGTGCGAGCTGTGCGCAATTACAATTAGAATTTAATACGAATTAATGAGATCGTCATCGTCGCCGAGGGGGCCGTCTGAAATGTTTGCGCGCCGCCACGACGCGTATTAATGCACGTCGCCGGTGCGCGCATATATCGGCGATATGACAGCCGGCGAGAGGGCGGGTGTATATGTGTGTGACGGCAAAACGCCCCGAAAAAATGCAAGAACACGAGAATCCTTTCTAGATAAATACGCGCGTAATGAAAAGTTGACAACGTCGCGGCGCGGTATCGCTCTCCATCTCCGATTGCAACTCCGGTGCCATCGCCATCGCGTTCTGCTGTCACGTAAAATATTTCAAATTTGAATTATTCCTTTATCGCATGAGAAATGAGAAATTTCCGCCGTTTATATTTATTTTTACAAGTTACTCGCTATCGATGCACATCAAATGCACAATTGATAACAAAAAAAAAAACAAACACCTCACAATATTTCAGCATAGCATGATAGATACTTCATAACCTCACTTATACGCTAACCCTTTTGAATATACTGCAAGCGCGCTGATTATAACCAACTTCGACACGAATCCAGACATACGGGTGTGTTCTCTAGATGAGTCTAGCAGAGAGAGAATTAGACGAATGCAAATACTTGAGCACGTAGCTCTACGCGAAGAGTGGACGGATATCTTCCCGGTGCTCGTGTCGTCCGAGTCATTGTCGACATGAGCGGGGGCGGCGTCTCGAGTGTTGTGCACATACACTTCAGGACTGCACGCTGCGATGCGCCACTCGAGCGGAGCGACGACTCGAAAATGTCAAGTTACAAGGCTATTCGTGCTTCCACACACCGTCTGAGGACTCCCGAGGTCCTTAACAAATTCACGGAAGTCGGAAAACCGGAAAATTGCATGCGTCATTTTAATATTTGACTACCTAGCAGCAGCACAATATTGTTTGCAATCTGCACCGAGATTTTATATTTAATAACTCAATTTGTTATTCATTGTTATTGTTTTTGTTGCATTGTTCGCGCGGCCATTGTGCTAATAAGCAGGTACAAGCGTAATATCGTAGTATGATTGTTGTATCGTTGTTATTACCCTTGTTGTTGATGTAATTACGATGTGGGTCAACAATTTCAGCGCGTTGCTGTTGTCGCCGGTTTGTGTTTCGCTTTGCATCTTCATTGTCATTGTAATTTCACACTCAATTATCCGTTCGCGTCTCATTTATTCACCAAAGCCGCAAAAAAAAACAAAAAAAAAGCAGAAACACACAAAACTTACTCAACGAGTAGACAACTCGTATATATTTATTTACTTCCCTTTTTTGTTCTAACTGACCAAAGCAGGCATAAAAACTCGATCGTAATTTGTGATTGTGATTATTGCGGTTTTTGTGTTCGTTGCCTCCTGGTTGCATCGCATTGAAATCTACATTTGTAAATTAGAATTGAAATAAAAGCACATACACACACATAAAACTGTGTGTATGCTGTGAGGTCGGCTCGCGCGAGTTTTTGCCGGCAGCTTGAAAAATAGACACTTCCGGGTTTTCATCATCAACGCCGCGGCGCGTTATCTACGCTCGCGCCGCACAATTGAATTGGTATTAACTGTATACTCACCACGTCAGAGTCGCAATTGCAATGACCAACAACCAGCCACATATTGTGTACGGAGCGTTGAAATTGAAATTACGGTCCTGTAGCGAATGAATTTTGTATTAGATGTTTAGATACACAAACAGCACACGTTATTGTTCGCGAGCGGGCCTGCGTTATTGTTTGTTGCTGATGTTTAGCGTTAATATTAACTGTCTAAAGCAGGAGCGATCAGCCACAATCAGCAAAGGAAGCACGCGCAATTGTATCTAATTCGTATGATTCACGTGCGCGCGTGTTGGTGTGTGCACACAATGCGTTTGTTTCGGACGGTGCGCGTTTAATCTGCTTGAATTACTCCGAACTGAATACGCACATCTGTGATAATACTAATCAACTACGAACATCAGCAATAAAAAATGCAATAATAATAAAACTATAATATCTATAGTGAATGCCACTGCATGATAATAAATATGTGGGCATGATCGATTCACTTTCTCTTTTTTCTTTCACCTTGAATCAAGTATAACAATGCAATAATAACAAATTATCACGTCTTGTTTTTAGTATTCATTGTGTGACAGTATGACCCAACCTTGGCGTATGTTTCCTGCTTCCTTTATGTTGAAAAAACAATAAAATTTAATTTTTTAAATTTTATTTTTTTAATTTCTGCTTGAGATCTATCCAAACATATCCTGATCCCGTCTTGCAGCACAAATGATGCATAGATATACAGAAGCCAGAGCAGCTCCATCGTTTGCGCCCGATGTTTATAATTAAACCTTAGGGCACGCCGTACATTAATATTGCCGCACCGAAGCGAGGCGCGTTTATCCCGAGAGATGGTTCATAAGTTATACACGAGCGGCGGTCATACTACGCGCAGACCGGTAACATCGTTTGCGTCGATTATATTGGAAAGAGTTATGCGCTTCGAGATGGATAGATATGGGCGCATCGTAGATACCCTCCGGGCAATATCGGACCGGAGAGCTGATGGTCAGATGGTCAAACTTTCCGCTGGCGCGCTTTATCATGTATTGGAACACGTTGAAATGAATTTTGCTTCCCAGTACCGCATACAGCTCAAATTAGTTTTAGTTTCGTGTAGTAATCTGTACCAATATACAGAGAATCTTACTGCTAAGCTGCTACTAAGATCAAAATTGAAATATTCTGGGTTTTGGTTAGTGTCTAGATAGGTTTTTTTAACAGAGAGGAAATAATTTTTCATTTTGGATATAATTTCAGGTTGTGAGCATCGAACGTACGCGGTGGACGAGCGCGAGAAGATTTTAAGTATGGGTTTGGAGTAGACTCGACTGGGCGAGCGCGCGTTCATTCACTCTTCTCTGGTCAGGCGAAGGAGATCGAAGACGGAATCAGAAGAAAAAAAAAACGAAAAGTTTCCTAAGCGTACGCAGAGTGGAGTCGTCCTTGACCCTTCGTGGTTTCTTACTACGCCGTAGTAAGGTCTTCGAACGTTGGCAGCATATTCAAAAAAGAAATGCAAAAGAAAACTTGACTTAAGAATGACCACTGGTCAAACTTTCAAACACTTCAAAGCACAGTAATCAAATTAACTACAACAACTTTAAATAAGCTATAATAAATTATTTTCTTCTCAATTTTCTTGTTGTGCTTGCATGTTCAGAAGCTTAGCGTCGAAAACGCAGAGATCAGAAACACGTGGTGCGAACCAAAATAAATACCGATATTTTTACGAACAAACCATGCGCCACGACAAGACACAACTACTAAAATTATAAAATCAAAACAAAGCATATCTTATTCTTAATATAAGTACAACTAATGATGTGTGCTATAAATAAGTTATTCAACAACAGAATTTAAATATAAAACGGCAATTTGTTTATCACCGGCGTTTGTTATTGTGGTCTGGTATTGACGATTGACTACCAGACTGCAAGACGAGAATGGGAGCTAAAAATCCCAGCAGCGCAGTCGATAAATAATGAATAATCGATTACCCCGCGCGCATAATTTATAATCGTCAACAGACGAACATGACATTATCTATTGACACCAAAACTCGACAATCAACCTTTTGCAGAGCAGACAAGTCCATACAAGGTGCTTCAACGTGGATAAATTTAATCTAAACCTAATTATATGCTTAAATTTAAAACACTCGGTAGTTGACTTGTCATTTTGTTATTGTTGTGAATGCACTAACAACTTTTTTAATATTTTTGACTTGTCAAAGCATAGAAAAGTCATCAAACAAATTTTTTTGATCTCAATTTTTATATTTTTTAGTTTTTAAAATGTTTTTTGATATTTTTTTCCTCTGTGTGACGTGCAATTATTAGACAAACAAAAATGTGCCGGTAATAACTTATCACATATCGTTTAATGCCATGCCAATATATTACCATCACTTTATTATCCTCGCATTGATGCGCCCGATGCGAACAAAACGCCCATCCGAACAAAGCGCGACTCGCTGAGCCCGATCGCATGCGTTTGATGCTTTTTTTAATTTCGTCGTTACGTACGTGGCGTTAATGTGAAGGCGTTTCGCGTGGCGCGGCTTGAGGTGTCGTCGTGAATAACGACGCAAGCAAATCGTAATTCACGCATATGAATTATGACTATTTATTATTTACGGCAGTAACTTTTTAATCATAAACTCGAGTGTAGGTAATCGCAACCTGGCAGATACATACCTCCAGAGGCTTTCGTAAAATTAGATTTTAGATAAATTTCATAATAAAACCTGTGCCTGTGGGCTTAAATTGTCACGATAACAATCGCGATCGAACGATAGAAATAAAAACTCAAAATTCCCAAACATTTCGGACATCAATGAATTCAAATTATAATTATAATTAATTAATTTGGCTTTAGATTTGGCGATTCCCAAGAGAGTTGAAGTGATGTGTTATATTTTTTGGGAATTCCACGAAAATATATAAAGACATGTAGCGCATTAATTTAATTTGACCGCCGCGTGAAAAATACATCTATGCGTATAAACTTTCATCAATTTCGTGCGGCGTTCGGTCATCCCGTCGTCGCGCTGCATTAGCATTCGGTCAATTTATGCGACGCGCGGCGTAATTTAGTCATTTGGCGTTTGGTGAATTTGTGAATTTATGAGAAAACGCCAGCGCTCGTCTAGGCGACATTAATTCCGGTTAATGAAGAGTGACGCGCTCCATCGCGTCGATTAAAATAAATTAACCACAATGCCTATGGAGCATCGTCTAACGAACAAGCTGCACACATCCGAGAAGCAAGACATTTTCACCCAGAACATAATTAGTAAATATTTTAAATTAAAACAAAAAAAACACTAAGAAATAATTAATTTCATAAAATAGAACAAAAGGTTATAGATATAGACACAAGTGTGTTACTAAAGTGTTACTTGTCCTGCTTCATTGGATATTAACCAAAGCCATTTGTTAACAAGTAATTAGCGGATCTAAACTTATTAGCTACCGTATTTTCCATGTTGTTAGCACTCACGTGGTGAACTCCTACATGGCGTCCGACGCACGTACAACTAGTTAGCGCAAGACCTCACACAAGAAATCAATCAAATCGAAATTATTAATCTCAATCGCTCGAATCGGACCGATCGCCTTTTACATCGCACGACTTACCAATGCTGCAACCCAGTCAGCGTTGCTAATACAATTAAAACCAGTAGCTACGACTTGCTACCGACTTACAGATTGATACAAACTTTCATTTTGTGTCGTGTTCAGCACCGCGCAAAATTCATATAGGTACTCCAGCTGTATATATCGTAAATCAAACTTATTTCGAAATCAGATTACACTCGATTGTGTTCCTGAACATTACAGTCATAAAATAATTCGTTACAATAGCGAATTGTGTTTGATTGTCTACACTCTACACTCTAGAAGATTACCGTAATGAAGATGCCACCTCATCAAACAAGATGCTGAAGAAATCTACGATTTTGCACACTCGACACACAAAGCAGTAAGTTCCGACCAACTTACCAATTTGTTACCGTGCTTCGTGCTGATTTACTTTAATTTCCCGTAAAGTACTCGCAGTCACGTCAACGGAGACAAAGCGGAATTCACTTCGGAAAGGTCTATCCTTAATTCCCCGCATGACATTTGACACTTGACATATGCAGTCACCAAACAAGTGCATTGTGAGATTGTGAGCAATGCGGTTACTTGAAACTAATTTAATTCAGTGGATCTTATTAAAAGTTACGAGGTGAAATAAAAAGCTTCACATCACTTTTCGAAGAATTTCCTGCTAGACACCAGCTCTATTACACTCATTCATTTCTACCTGATAGAGAAAAGGTATTCCATTCATATCGGCCTCGTTATATTTTTAAATCAATACACAATTGAGAATTTTATTCGAATTGAGCCTAATAAGTTGTTCTAATAGAAAACGAGTTTTCGAGTATCGATATCTGCCCGTTCATCCGAAAGGCGACGTGTCAGTCAGTCGGAATGGATCGCTAGGTCTCGAAACTATCATCGTCCTGGCGCGCGCAAAGCAAAGATGTGGCGTGGAAATAATCATCAATGAATTACGCCACGATATCGGTTTATCGCGTCGAATGACGGTTCCATCTCGAGCTCGTTACGGAACCAACTGGACGAGAAACTAAAGACTTTGATGACCGCTCAATTGATGACTTCAATATCCGTCCACCGGTTAGAATAGAAGCGAACACAAGCGCCAAACACGTTTCACGCACTTTTATCGCATAGGCGCGCAGGAAATTAATGATTAATCGCGAGTGAGTGATTTAAATGTAAATCATTTTTTCTTCGCGGCGTCGTGTTGCCGCGATATAAATATGACGATAAGCGAACGTGTTACATTGTAACGAGGATATTTCTATGTAAATTTTAATCGCCGCATTAAATTATTTAAATCGCTCAAATCGAGAACCCGAATACGTCTTAACTAATATCACTTTTGTGTAATGCACGATTTGTCATTCGGATTATCTTTATATTCAAATGTTATTGCTTTAAATTGCGCTTTTATTGAATACCATAACGACTTTGAATTGGTTTTTAATTTAAACGAAAAACAAACTTTGAAAAAAAAATGATTTCTAAACTTTTACACATTGTATTCAAGTCAAAATTTTATGCATATTGTTTATCTTATTACCAGTTAAAACGTGTATCGTAAATAAAATCGATAATAACATGCGTTACTTGTGAAAATCGTAAATAATCGCAATTGCCTCGAAATTAACTTCGCACGGTTGTAGCTCTCGTTCGTCGACGCTAATAAGTAGGAAATTCAATGCGCCAAATAGCTACAAGGTGTTTCCGTAAGTTACGACCGCACCACTCGCGTAGAAATTTACGCAAAACATTTTAGTTAGCTGAAACCAAAGCGTTTAGCGCATGCAAACGAAAATGTTATTTATCGACGCTCGTATCTTGCGACCGCAACTTCAACTTGGACGTTCATTAAGGCACGGAAATTCATGCGCTGGCAAATTATCCTCTTCTTGCATTACTCGCGTTTTGTCGACGTATTTAAATATGAGTAGTACGCGTACGCCTCGCACAGACACGTCGTATTATCGATAGCGCGAGTTTAGAGCTATTTCGCCGGCGATTGGTTTCTGGACGCTTTGGCAGGCACACCATGCGGACGCGGCCATTAAACCACCTGTCGATTTATTTATGCGACACATAGGAGAGTCGCACGCCGGTAGCGCAGCATTCGCTAATAAATTTCGTTATTAAATTATACCTGTATGAGTAGGCGCTGCGAGCGAACGGACGACGCCTGCAGATGGAAAAATATCGCGAGCGCGCAATTTCAATTGGCGACTCGGACAAGGCGAAAAAAAAAATCGCGCTGAATTAGTGTAACGCCGGCGATTTATATCGGCGCTTTTAATTGAAATAATTATTTATGGAGCGCGCGCGCATGCGGAGAAACGTTTTTTATGAGCGCCTGATTACGAGGCGGCCATCGGGATATTTTACGATCGCGAGATTCGTTCAAATGTGGAATACATGTTTAATTGCTATTTGCTGCAATTACGCTCGTTTACACACTCGCACTGCATCTCGGAGACATAACAACAGGAGTGGCAGAATGCCTTTATCAGTAGCGCCATCTATAAATCACTTGGCAACTAATTAAAAGGAGGCACAAATACGTGTAAACGCGGAAATCGCTTTAATTTTCTTCGAGCTGTTGATTAATTTTCGACCTTCTCGATGGGAGTGTAAGCGGTAAGTCATGCAAGGCACACAAGGTTCACGTCAGTCACTCAGTCAAGTCGCCGGATCATTAGCTATTGATAGAAAAACGGTAACGCAATCCTCAATATGCGCGTATTTTATTCTTCGGTGTGTGTGTGTGTCGGGCCGAGCCCTGGATTCGATTACAAAGTGCATTCAGTGTCTTTCATTCGTCACTCAGACGTTACATAAACCTATCTATCACGCATACATACAGGGTGTATCAGAAAGAGCGTAAATTGTAAAATTTCATTTTTTGCATAAACAAATGCGAGATTTGCAACCGCCTGTACTTGGTGCAATTGTTTGAACCTTCGTGCAGGATGAAGGACTGTGCTACTACTCGTACACGAGAAAGGCTCGTCGCGAACCGTTGTCCGTTTCGTTCGCCGGCCCTACCCATTGATCATGATCGTGATTATAATGCACACCATTGAACTACTTGCACAAGCTGCGTAAGCCATACATGTCTCACAAAAAACTACATTATACAGGGTGTTACTATAATTTATATGCGTTTAATCAACGAAAAAATGATAATTATTCAATTTTAACACTTTGTAGATGCAAGTGAGTCAAACTCGTGTCAAATGGACTTAAGTTAAGGCAATTTAGTAGAACAATTGTTTTATTATCGCTGGTTTCATGCGTCAATCAGAAAGAAAAGTTTTTTGGTAAAATAGTGTGACTTACCTTATTTGGCGATATTATCTGGTAAATCTACATCCATCCGGAACATGACATGAACGCTGAAACAAAAGAAAACTTTTTTATTCTCGTGTCATCTTGTTGAAATCTAAAAGTGACAATCGTTGATTATGTAACTCAGCACGTGCTCTCATGCTGTTCATTTTTTTCTTTTTCAAAGCTCTCAACTCTTCTCATACGTAGATTAGTAGTTCAATGTCTAATATTATGTTTTCTTCATCTTTAATTTTCTTCAATTCTTTCTTTCTTTCTTCTGTTTCTACTGGTGACGTATTCTATTTTCCTTTCATCGTTTTGCTCCTTTTGACGCTTTTATTTCGGTGTTTTTATATTTCTGTCGGCGCGCATTAACGCGCACCTAGAATAGTTTCGTGTGCATGAGGTTTCGGGCGCGGGCCGCGAGATTGACAGTTACAAATCTAATCATTACACGCCGCTGCCAGAGGTCTTCGATTCGGGCGCGCGAGCCTCGCGTATTTTTAAGTCTGTCAGAAGTCTTGTACGCGTTGTTAATCTTGATCGCGTTCTAGTTACGGGCGCAGCGTAAAACGAACACGAAATAACGCACACAGGGAGGCGCTTAATGAAGAGCATCTAACGCATGATTCATGTCGCGGATAACAGCCACAGAGATTTGAATATCACTTTTGATAAATTAGCACCAACATGTGTTGGGGAATTTATTTCATACATTGAAACACCATAGAAATAAATATTGTCAAATATTAATTTAATAATAATTCATATTTCATGCAGTTTGGACCTCATTGCCCACGAATATTGTACGTACGTATGAATAAAAGCCGATTATAATCAACGAAAATTTATTCTAATTAATTCATTAATAATTCAAAATACGATACGATCTTTTAATCCCACGCGCGCGCGCGCCGCTGCGGCTTGAAACCTACCTGCTTTCCGCCGATCACGGAACAGAAACATAGAAAAGCCGCAGATGACGTCCGATTTTACGAGACCCATACGCGAGTTATGCCCGTATTCCATTACATTTTTATATTTCGCCTATCACTATCACGCGCATTTCAAATAATTCATGCAACCCAACACATGAAGGCAATTTTTATTTATACACGTTTCGTGATCAAAGCCTTTCTGGCATTATAATTAATTAAATAAACCGACTAAACACGTATTAAAACTAAGCCCGAATCACGAAAGCCTCCGAAACTATATCTACCATCTTAATCAGCGATTATATTGTATTATAAGATGATTCGACGTGCGTCGTGCATTTTTCTTAGAACAATACCGATATTTTTGATACCCATTCAAGATTGAATATTGCGTCACGCGACCATTATGGCAGACAAGAGAGATTAAAATTAAAAAGTCAATTTTTCAAACGTTCACGTGTATAATGCGTTTTATCTGCTTATGTGAGTTTGAGATTTTTCTAGTTTCCAGCCGGCCATTGTACGCACACGCACATTTTTTTCACCATTCAAAGCGCTTTTGAATGCCACACGGCCCCGAAAAGGAAGTAGGCACATCATGTCACGTCAGACAAGATAACGCTAAAGTTAGTTTATAGTCGGGCGAGAGAATATCATGCGGTCACAAATCCATTTTATTGTTTATGTTCAATGGGTTTCAATGTTAATGCGCGCGCATTAAATAAATTCGGTGAGATTAGTTTAAGTATGCGTCGCGGGCAGGGATTACACGTTCTCGTGGTCGTGGACGTTTTATTTGTGATTAATTTCGAGATGCAAGCAAGCACACACAATGTGTCGACCTGCGGGTCGCGTCGGGTCGTTAGGAAAATATGACCACGGCCCATTGTGTTAGTTGATTAGGTTATAGTATTAGCGGTAATCGACGCGTGTGTGCCACACCTGTGCACCTTCAGCATTCGCATTCGTGCAGCATTCGTTTCACAACTGTTGGACTCGTATTAACATACAAAGTGTTAAAAACTATAACATCTCAACTAATTACACTTAAAAATACAAAAAACGTGGAAAAAAAGATACAATTGATTAATGATGCGTTGCATAACCTTAAATGTCATGTCAAAGTGTCACTGACTGACAGTAACAACTGTCAAATGTCAGTTTTTTGTGGATTTAATGTTTTTTTTTTCTTGCTTTTCAAATGTGGAACTTGTGCGTTGATGTATAGAAGAGTTTGTATAACTTTGTAATCCAACGCGTGCGTCGCATGCGATGCACACAGTGTTTTGAGTTATTTTCGTACGTCCGCGGTGCGCGATCACGTGACTGAGCACACTTTATTCAAACCACGGTCGCGCACACAAAGCGCGACGCGCGGACGGGACGCTCCGGCCGAGGCTTTATAGGTGTATCATCAAAAATAAATCATTAGCGTTCGCGGCCAGGAGAGCATAATATAATACGGAAATGCATGGCGCACACACGCGCATAAATAACCTGGGAGCGCACAAAAATGGAATGACACACGGCGCGCGAGTCGACCAAACCAGAAACACCCGGCGAGGGCATATTACAAAAGGATTAAGTGACTTGTTTATGCGCTTGAACAATACGATATAAACACAGAGAGAGAGAGAACCCGAAGAGATTTTCATCTCCCGGAAAGAGTAGTTAATGCAATGTGTGTGTCCGATGATGATTTTCATTAAAATAGAAAATTTATTCGCGACTAAATATTAATTATCGCTGCATGTAGACGTGCGGCCGGAGGGGATAATAAATAATTAACTCGTATTGAAATGTACGAATATTGCAAGTTTCAATTTGCATTTCCGGCTGGCTGGCTCGCGCCACGCATTTTCGTGTTTCAATTAATGCGTTAATTTTATAAACATCAAATGTTTGTTGAAACTACACAAGCGGCGGGGGCGCATTCGATATAATTGAGGCGTTATTAACGAAAAAGCATTTTATTATGCTCGCTACCATCATTTGCATCATTGTTTTGCTTCAATTCATAATAATCCGTAATAACGCATTTTATATTTATACATTATTGAAATTTTCAGCGGATTCCACTAATGATTATTTTAATATTCAATTATTATAATATTTTAAATGTTAAAATTACTCTTCGTTGAAATACTAACACCTAAATCATGCTGTAATCGTTTCTTTGTTTTTGATGCACAAAACATGAAAGCTCTTAAGTGGATTAGCTATGCATGCGCAGAATGTGCCTACACGTTTCGCGAAAATTGTAGGTTTTCAACCGCGAAAGCACGCTGGCGACTGTTATTCGATATGATATAGCACCGGTGCGAATCTATTTAAACCAACTTACTTACATTATCACACAGGCGGGCGGCAGGAGCAGCAGCGGCGGCGGCGCGCAATGCTCACTCAATTTAGCGTTCGCTCTGGTGCTCGAAAACTAGCGCGAAAATAAATCATATCTAATAACGTCTCGGAACTAACCTCGGCTCATAAGTAAGAAGCGGTGTTCCACCGATAAACTATAAACAAGGTGTTGCAGTTCATAAATTATCTCCACAACAACAAAAACTACAACTGCTATATAATTAAATACCTATTATTTAAATTTTATAAGTAATACATTAAAATCTACACAAAAATAAAATTCATTTGAATATTATGCACGTTTATAAAATCTAACAATGTTTAATGCCCTCTTGGTGGCTTGTACAACGTCGTGTCCGACTCGAATTTCTCATGTCGCGCGATAATTGCTCCGCGCTCATAACGTACGCCATAATAACGCATAACATACCTAGGTTATGTCTACCTCGAGTTACTCCGAACACTCGAGAGCATGCCCTACAACTAGATCTACTCGTATCTCGCAACTTTGAAACTCAATCCGCCGACCGGCGCAAAATCAGAATCACATTCAGCGGGCATCGAATTCCGCGCTGAATTGAGTCCGATATGGACAGGCGACATGCGCACAGCCACACAGCCACAATGAATCATTTCCACTAAAGTGGTATTATCGACATTACGACCACTATTGACAAACGTTACCGGTTAGCCATTTTGCTATTTACCATTGTCCCATTTAAAGCACCGAATCAGAATCAGTATTACCAGTTGCGCTTTGGGCTCTGTACATATCTAATACTCAAATATCTGACAATGCACATAAATGGTTGGACATATCTGACATATCTCTTATGATGTCAGCCCGTCAGAGCATTCATAGCATAGACTGCATTTAACATTGTAACCACAACGTCGGAGACTGAATTTTATTCAGTCTTTTAGTTTTAAATTCGTCGAGATGAAGATAAAACAATCACACTTAATAGTTGTTGTTTTACGTCGTAGTCGCTGCATTGTGCGTGCAGCGAATGATAAATGATTGTTATAATTCGTTGCGTAATTCAAGCCGAGACGACATTTTGACGCTAATTCGATCTTGTCGAGGCGATAGAAACGTAAAACAACGCGTAAGTGTAGGTACTAAATACGTCGGTTATGTCATGATGACGCCGCGTTTTCACCTCAACAAATTAATTTCCATCAACTACACGAAACAGAAACACAAAAATGCGCACGGATAGTTTACAGAATATATGATTATACGGTTAAATATGTTTGAGTTGCAAGTTATGTGCGCACTTTATGAAGACCAGGTTTAGATTTACTCTGAAAGCGCTCCTTTGACTATGTTCTGATTGTAGTCGAATGCGTTTGTAATCCATTTAGTCTTTGTTTCAGTCCTGCGAGTAGCCTCTGGTCACTGTTGCGCGCCTGTTAGCCCGTTGGTCATTGTTAATCTCACAAAAGGAAGTCGCTTTCTGCTTTGAATCGCTGCGCAACAATCCGAACATCACATAAAATATGTCAACCCAAGTACTGCTCGCTGATAGATGGCGCTAGTTTACACTAAAGCACCGCACGGCGCATTAAATTACGCAATGTCAGACTTTCAGTCCGCCGATGGAAAATAGTCGATAAATCTTTGTTCTTCTACGTTCGGTTCGCCACTGATTTACAACCAGGCTATTGTGGTTGTGTGTGTGACGATGATAATTAATTACCTAGCAACTGTTAAACGGTTATTATTTCGGTTGTGTGTGATGTGGTCGCGTTAGTGTCCCTAG